CGAAATTCAAATGACCCTTCTAGGATTCAAGAATGGCTTCAAACACGTTGAAACATATGAATACTCAATTCACAAGTTTATATAAAAAGACGAATCTAGCTTCTCAAGTTGCAGGTATGTTTCCCTTCCGCAGGGTAACGAAATACCCAAGTATGAGAACATCTTATGACGTGTTTGTGGTGACTGAATTTCTTAACATGCCGTGGATTTGTCACTTTGCGTTACTGATGCAATTTTGCCGTGACATGGTGTATTTTTTCAACTTTGTATCACCGTGCATATGCCGCTAAGGTTAAATTTTAGCAATTTTGTTAAATCAGTGTTCGTCAATCGTTCACTATGCACCCATTGGAAGTAGGTGCACCTTTTAAGTTATTAAACAAATTACTCCCAGAAAATCGCTCTTTCTACACACCTAGCTTAGAGATCGTGTCTTCTATAGAGCTACGGTTGAAGATTTGACTTAACTACTGAGTTTCCATATTTAAAAGAGAAATCCAGGCTTGAGAATTTTCATGTCGTTAGACTGAAAATATAATACAAGCAGGTGCTGAACGAGATGGTGTTCAAGACGTGAACTCCGAAGTTTTTATACATACATAAGTGAATTTTTCCACACCTTTCAATTAATGAGTGAAATGATTGCATAGCCGCCTAAGCCTGTTTTTTGATGAAAGGCCGCAGTAAATTTGGTCTTTAGCAATTGACTAATTTTTCTAGTTATTTCCAAATTTGTCTATTGTGCAAGCTGCCCTCCCCCACAAAAACTTTCGAGAAAATGTAATAGCTCTTTAATCACTTGCATATCTGTCAGTGAAATGCTGAAAAGGTTTTTTTCAAGCTAAGCATACCTTTTCAATAGTTTTGATACTATTCGGGTTATCACCCCGAACCTACCGTATCCCTCATACCCGTAGTAAAGTGGGGCGGTACGGGTCGATGGGCCGTGATTGTATTGTTCATCATTCGAATAAAGTGTTGCTTCGTGAGTTGTGTCCACCAAAGCAACAACTGCTATTCGGCATAGATATGTTATCCCAAATGCATTGTTTTCTTTTCGGTTTCTTATGCATTTATGAGATTCATTGCTGTTATATGTGTACTACGTTAGCATCTGAAGGTTGAATGTTCTATAATGTTTATACATTGAATCCAATAAGAAATATTCATAATTCTCGTGTTCAGTACATAGTAAGAGATAGCTAACATTTACCGCGAATACGTCATGCAGTGTGTCCGCATGCGTCAGTCCCCATTACCCCTGGATCAAGTTGTGGAGAGGTAAGGTGTTTGCGAAACCTGCCTCAGCGACGGGTACGTATTCACCCCTTTTTTTGTACTTAAGGTAGTGGTAGCAAAAATGATGAATCATACATCGCCAAGACAGGGGTGTGGCCGCATTTAAACTAGGTAAATATAATGATGCATCCCCCAAGTCTCCCTGCTACCCTCCTCTTTTTTTTATAGTGTTATCTTTCTCTTTCTATCGGACCATTGAGTGTATCATAGCTCCCGTTAAATCTACATCGATATTGTATTATGATTATATCTAGATTGATTGAGGCTAGTCGAAACATTACCAATGAAATCTGTAGAAAAAGAGCATTGTCACTACATCACAAAACAACATTAGATGTTATTTAAAAAGAAAAGCAATAGGTCTATTGATTTTATTCTCGGCTCGTTTTTTTGAAATTCCCCTATTATAGTTTGATGCAGCAAATATACAAATCCTTTAGTCCTCATTGCACGATTCAATGGTTCTTGATAAATTTTCCGTCTTCTCTTCAGAAAATGATTTTAGTCACTTTTTGCGTGATCAAGTTATTACGCCATCATAATCATGCAATGACATCACTAATACAATAAAAAATAGCAATCGCCACGCAACTGCTTAACTATAGCAGCAAAATCTTGTTGTCTCTCTGCCCTGATAACGCCAGCCCATCCCTATCAAGTTATCTGGATAAACACCTTTGTCTTCAGGTAATTGCGAGTAAGCAAGTTATTATGGGATAGCAAAAAAATCTTCATGGAATCCCTACTCATACAAATGACAGCAAGATAGAAATGTAGAAGATCACGAGGAACCAGTGTTGCTAAAGTGAAAAACGAAGAAAACACTACTATAAATTCAAACGAGGTGGAGATTCGTCTCGTAACCTTCGCCTTTTCATTTGTGGGCCTCCTATCGCACGAGCTGGCAACGGAAGTTCTTCATCAAGGCAGCATAACGGTTCATTACTGAAAAAAGTTTTTACTTGTATCAGAAAGACGAAAAAATGGAAGTAAAAGAAATGACCTAAAGTAAGGGGACTGCAATGCTTCGGAAGCAGTGACTCTTTTTAAGGGATCATAATGGAAGCAGCCAAGAAGTAAATCTATTAGGTCATCTCCTGCAGCAGTGAAGACATGACGCAGATTAATTCCTTGCTGCTCCCTGAACCAAGTATTTTAGGAATTTCAGAGAAGGCATTAAGTTTCGCGACGCACTTCATCTCAATGTAATCTGGAAGGTTCATCATCGCTGGCCAGTCTTCCGCACAAGGTGTACCCAACACGTTGCCTATTTTAACTAACTGATCCAGGTCTGACTCTCCAGGAAACAAAGGAACCTATAAAAAGTAATTGAACTGCTGTATAACAGAGGATGAAATCTACCCGTAATAATAATTCGGCGATAATGCAACCGATAGCCCACATGTCCACTCCAGTGCCGTAGGCTCTTGCGCCCCAAATTAGTTCCGGGGCTCGATACCAGCGAGTTACAACCTATGACACA